CAGCGACGGGCGGCGAAGGCAGGGCCCCGACGGGCCAGCTAAGGCAGGGCCGCGACGGGCCGTACTAGGGCAGGGCGCGAGGCGCGCTTCGGGCAGGGCAAAGAAATCGTGGTGGGCCCTAAAATAAAAAACGTTCCCACTAGGGAACCTGCTCAGAATACCATGTCAGAATAGTGAACGAATGAATGACTGAACTAGCAAGCCGGTGGGTATAAGTAGGAAACCTAGAAATGTTGTACCCTATATGAACTACCCCACTACAGCCTAGAAAGACTATAGCATGTAAGTTTGACATCTGACATGGGCAGTGAGTTCTCTTTTGACCTCCTTGCGGAGTTCTGTCGAGACGAGGGCATCTGCCAGTCGTTCATGCTTCCGGCCTCTCCTCAGAAAAATGGGATTGCTGAGCGTCGCATTGGCTTGATCATGGAGGTTGATCATTGTCAGAATGTTATAGTGCTTCTATTTGTGTAGGCTTTAGTGGGGGTAGCCCATAAGGGGTACAACCCAATTAGGGTTAGTACTTGTACCCAACTGTTTCATAGTTCATTCATCCTTGTTAGTTATTCTGACATGGTTTCAGAGCAGGTCCTCCGCTAGGACTGTTTTTTTTTTGCCCACCACAGCGCTGCCCCACTAGCCGCCCCTAGCGACCCTCGTGCCGCACCTACTGCCCCTAGCGCCGCCCTCATGCGGCCTGCCCATCGCCCCTAGGCCCCGGCCCATCGCCCCTAGGCCCATCGCCCCGGCCCGTCGTCCATCGCCCCGGCCCGTCGACTGTAGGCCCGTCGCCCCTAGGCCCGTCGCCCCTAGGCCTGTCGCCCCGGCCCGTAGCCCGTCGCCCCGGCCCGTCGACTAGGCCCGTCGCCCCTAGCCCCGGCCCGTCGCCCCTAGGCCCGTTGCCCCGGCCCAACGCTCCTAGGCCCGTCGCCCCAGCCCATCGCCTCGGCCCGTCGACCGTCGGCCCGTCGCCCCTAGCCCCGGCCCATCGCCCCTAGGCCTGTCGCCACGGCCCGTCGCCCCTATGCCCCGTCGCACCGGCCCGTTGTCCCCCCCCCTCGGCCCGTCGCCCCGGCCCGTTGCCAGTCGCCCCTAGGACCCCGGCCCTACGCCCGTCGCTCCTAGGCCCGTCGCCCCAACCTCGGCTTGTCGCCCGTCGCCCCCCCCTAGGCCTCGGCCCGTCGCCCCTAGCCCCGACTCGCACCCGTCACCCCGAGGCCCCGGAACGTCGCCCCTAGCCCCGACTCGCGCCCGTCGCTCCTAGGCTCCGGCGGGCCTGTCGACCCTAGGCCCCGCGCGCCGCCTCTTATGGCCCTCTACGCGCCCCTGCTGCCCTGCTAGCCGCCCCTTGAGGCCATCTCGCAGCCGCTGCTGCCCTGCTTGCCGTCCCTCTCTGCTGCCTGCACTGCCCGGCTTCTGCCCGCCCTGCGTGCTGCACCGCAATGGCTTCTCTCCGCGTTCTAGCGTTCGATCATGAGGGCCGACCGATCCAGTTTGACACGTGGCTTGACTACCTGCTGCTGTACCTACTGAGCGACTCTAGGGACAGTGTTTCGTTGTTTGACCACACGTCTGGTGCTGCTCCCGCTCCTCCCGCCACAGCTGACAGTGCCACTCGCTCACGGTGGCTTACTCGTGACGCTGCTGCTTGCTTAGCCATTCGCAACCACCTGTCGTTAGCCGAATGCGCTCACTTCGGACAACACAGGCCCTGTACGACGCTGTAGTCGCCCGTTACTCCTCGCCTGCCACTGCTGCTCTAGGCCGTCTTCTCCTGCACTACCTGTTTCCCGAGCTGTCCGCCTTTGCCACAGTAGAGGACCTGGTTTCCCACCTTCGCACTAGCAACACTTGCTACCGCACTGCCCTCCCAGCAGAGTTCCTTGATAGGAACCAGCCCCCGATGTACATCACTCTCTACTTTATAGTCACCCGCCTCCCTGACTCTCTTTGCTCTGTCAGGGACCACTTTCTCTCACTTGACCCCACAGTCCTCAGTGTTGACCTACTAGAGCAGCACCTCCTTGCAGCTGAGACTGGTGTATTTCCTGTAGGTGCTGCCCGTGGCACTCCGCGCACGCCCTTCTTTGAGGGGTGCTCCCCCTCCCCCCTTGCCCCCTCCTACGCCTCTGCTGCTGCTGTCGACGTCCCTGGTGCTAAGGACGTCGGGGCTACTTCTGCTACTGCGAAGCGCCGCAGCAGCAAGGGCAAGGGTGGCAGGGGTGGTGGCGGTGGCAGCGGGGGTGGTGGTGGGGGCAGCAGTGGAGATGGTGGAGGCAGTGGAGGTGGTGGTAGCGGTGGGAGTGGTGGAGGGAGTGGGGGCTCTGGTGGCGGCGGTGGAGGTAGCGGTGGGAGTGGCGGTAGTGGCAGCAGTGGGAGTGGTGACAGTCGGACTGGAGCTCAGCGTGGAGGTTCTTGAGGAGGCCAGAGGCAGCAGCAGCAGCGTCGGAGCGAGACCCCGTAGCCCCAGCAGCTTCGTGAGTGGTTTGCTCAGCGTAGGGCGTCTGGGGGTAGTGGTAGCTGCCCGTATGTCATTCGCACGGGTGACCGTGCTGGTCAGACATGCGGGAAGCCTCACACTCAGCACCGCTGCTTCTCCCGCCTCAACGACGCTTGGCGCGCAGAGTTTGGTGACGAGGCCGAGCGTCCCCGCTGGGCAGAGCTGCTTAGGTCTGGAGTTGCAATCTTTGACCTAGACTATGATGCTATCCTTGCTGCTATGTATGCTTTGTCTGTTCGTGCTAAGGGTGACTGTTACCTGTGTGTGCCGCTTGACCCAGGTATAGAGGCTGCTGCTCTAGGTGCTAGTGAGTCTGTTCTCCCTGGTACTGCGCCTGCTGAGGCCTTGCACACCTTCACGCTTGACTCAGGTGCCTCACGCTGTTTCTTTCGTGACAGCACCACCCTCACTCCTCTCTCTGCACCTGTACGGGTCAGGCTGGCTGTTCCCTCCGAGGGCCCAGTCCTCGCCCATTCCTCCACTGTGCTCCCGTGTCCAGTGGTTCCGTCCAGTTCACTGTCAGGCCTTCACCTCCCCTCGTTCTCTACGAACTTGGTGAGTACCGCAGCCCTCCAGGACGCGATGGTCACTACCACCACTCTTGGGGGTCAGCGTGTGTCGATCTGCACGTGTACATGGACGGGCCGTCACCTGGACACGTTCACTCGTTGGCCAGGGTCAAGTCTGTACACACTAGCTACCGAGCCTCCTCAGGTAGCTGCGTCTGCCCAGGTGTCCGCGTCAGGTCAGGTAGCACCCCCTTGTTTGTGTCGCCTCCTGTCGCTCGTACCTCCATGATCCATGCGGCTGCTCCTCATTTTCTGTGGCCGTTGCGGTCCGTTACACTGCGCATCAGCTCAACCTCTGGCCCCGTGTCTCCTTGCCAGAGACCTCGCCTACACTGCGTTGGACGGGGAAGGTTGGCGATGCGTCGGTGTTCCGGGTCTGGGGTTCTTGTACCTTTGTTCGCGATACGTCCGCGGACAAGCTCTCCGCCCGCGCTATTCCCTGCGTCTTCCTTGGCTTTTCCCCTGACGCGCCTGGCTGGCAATTTTACCACCCCACCTTACGCCATGTCTTCCCCTCTCAGGACATCACGTTTGATGAGTCGGTTCCCTTTTACCGTCTCTTCCCCTACCGCTCTGCCCCTCCCCTCCCCCGTCGCTCTTCCTTGCTCTATGTCCCCCTCCGGTGGACCCCCTCCCCCCCCAGGGTCCTGCTCTCTCTGGTGTGTCGCAGGTAGACCCTCTCCCTGGTACTGCGCCTGTTGGGGTAGTTGTCGGCTCAGGTGCTGCTCGAGGTGCTGCGTCTGGGGGTGCGGAGCCTGGGGGTGCTGAGTCTGAGGGTGCCGTGTCTGGGGGTGCAAAGCCTGGGGGTGCGGAGCCTGGGGATGCTGAGCCTGCGGGTGTGGAGCCTGGGGGTGCTGAGCCTGAGGGTATGGAGCCTCAAGGTGCTGAGTCTGAGGGTGCGGAGTCTGGGGGTGCTGAGCCGAGGGGTACCGCTTCTTCTGGAGGTCCTGCGGGTGCTTCGCCACGACTGTCTCCCCGGTCGGAGCCTCTCTCCCACAGCAGCTGCGCGAGTGGTTTGCTCAGCGCTCCTGCCTTCGGAGTGGAGCTGCCGGACCTGGAGACTCTGTTGCTGGAGACACTGGAGCTGGAGGTGCTGGAGTTACTGCTGGAGCTGGTGGTACCGGAGGTGCTGCTGTCAAACATATATGCCTAGTTATATCTAGGCTTAGTTTATGTGTTTATAGTTGTCTAGGCTATAGTGGGTTTAGCCTTAGGGGGTACAAAGTTTCTCTCGACATTCTACTTGTACCCCTTCCCTTTTCCTAGTCAATCATTCTCGCCTACTATTCTAACATGGTATTAAGAGCATAACATTCCTAGGACCTAATGTTAATGGGCCCACCACCTACTGCCCTGCTAGCCTAGGCCCCGGCCCGTCGCCCCTTGGCGTCGCCCCTAGCCCGCGATCGGCCCGTACCTAGCCCGCGATCGGCCCGTTCCTAGCCCCGCGCCCGGCCCGTACCTAGCCCGTCGCCCGGCCCGTACCTAGCCCGTCGCCTGGCCCGTACCTCGCCGGTCGCCCGGCCCGTACCTAGCCCGTCGCTCGGCCCGTACCTAGCCTTGCGCCCGGCCCGTACCTAGCCCGCGCTCGGCCCCTTGGCCCCGTCGCCTCGGCCCCACTGGCCCTGTCGACTTCATCGCCCGCGCCCGGCCCGTACCTAGCCCGTCGCCTGGCCCGTACCTAGCCCGTCGCCCGGCCCGTACCTAGCCCGCGCCCGGCCCCGTCTCCTGCCCGCGCCCGGCCCGTACCTAGCCCGACGCCCGGCCTGTACCTAGCCCGTCGCCCGGCCCGTACCTAGCCCGCGCCCGGCCCCGTCTCCTGCCCGCGCCCGGCCCGTACTAGCCCGTCGCCCGGCCCATACCTAGCCCGTTGCTCGGCCCGTACCTAGCCTCGCGCCCGGCCCGTACCTCGCCCGTCCCTGGCCCCGTACCTAGCCCGCGCCCGGCCCGTACCAAGCCCGCGCCTGGCCCTGTCCTTCGCCCAGCGCCTGGCCCCGTCTCCTGCCCGCGCCCGGCCCGTACCTAGCCCGTCGCCCGGCCCGTACCTGCCCGTCGCCCGGCCCCATTCCGCGCCCAGCGCCCGGCCCCGTACCTGCCCAGCGCCCGGCCCAGTACCTGCCCAGCGCCCGGCCCCGTTCCTGCCCAGCGTTCGGCCCCGTACCTGCCCAGCGCCCGGCCCCGTCCCTAGCCATGGCCCCGTCGCCCCTAGCCATGGCCCCGTCGCCCCTAGCCATGGCCCCTCGCGACCTGCCGCCCCTAACCGCGGCCCCGGTGACCTGTTGCGCCATGGTGGGTGAGGGGGTGGCAAGAGGGGGTTCCTCCTGCCCGCGTGCCCTTCAGTCGCACGCGCATCTCCACCCCCGCCCCCCTCCCCCCCCTCCCCCCCCTCCATGGGGATGGCGGGGAGAGGGGGAGGAAACTTGGAGGTTCAGGGGGAGGCAGGAGGGGATCTGCAGCACCAGGTCCCCCACCTTTCTCCTACCTCCCCCTACTGCGGGAGCAGCAGAGGGGGGGAGGGGACCTGCAGCACCTGCCCCCCCCCCCCCCCCCCCCGCCCCCCCCTTCTCCTCCATCTCTCTGCTGCGGGTGCAGCAGTAGAGGGGAGGGTATGGGGGTGGCGGGTATGCGGGTGCCGCAGTGGGGGGGAAGGGATCTGCCATCCCCCTGCTGCGGATGCAGCAGTGGGGGGAGGGGATCTGCAGCAGCAGTGGGGGGGGAGGGGAGTTGCAGCATCAGCCCCCCCCCCCCCCCCCCCCCCCCCCACTTCTCCTCCATCCCCCTGCTGCGGGTGCAGCGGTGGGGGGAGGGGATCTGCAGCCCTGCGCGCCCTACGCGCCCTGCTGTCCTGCTGCCCTGCAGCCCTGTGCGCCCTGCTGCCCTGTGCGCCCTGCTGCCCTGCTGCTGCCGCTACAGCCCTTGCTGCTGCCCTGCGCGCCCCGCGCGCCCTGCAGCTCTGCTGCGCCCTGCTGTCCTGCTGCCCTGCGCGCCCTGCAGCCCTGCGCGCCTCGCGCGCCCTGCTGCCCTGCTGCCCTGTGCGCCCCGCGCGCCCTGCAGCCCTGTGCGCCCCGCGCGCCCTGCAGCCCTGCTGCGCCCTGCGCGCCCTGCTGTCCTCCTGCCCTGCGCGCCCTGCGCGCACTGCAGCCCTGCACGCCCCGCGCGCCCTGCAGCCCTGTGCGCCCCGCGCGCCCTGCAGCCCTGCTGCGCCCTGCGCGCCCTGCTGTCCTGCTGCCCTGCGCGCCCTGCGCGCACTGCAGCCCTGCGCGCCCCGCGCGCCCTGCTGCCCTGCTGCCCTGTGTGCCCCGCGCGCCCTGCAGCCCTGCTGCGCCCTGCGCGCCCTGCTGTCCTGCTGCCCTGCGCGCCCTGCGCGCACTGCAGCCCTGCGCGCCCCGCGCGCCCTGCTGCCCTGCTGCCCTGTGCGCCCCGCGCGCCCTGCAGCCCTGTGCGCCCCGCGTGCCCTGCAGCCCTGCTGCGCCCTGCGCGCCCTGCCGCACTGCAGCCCTGCGCGCACCGCGCGCCCTGCAGCCCTGTGCGCCCCGCGCGCCCTGCTGCCCTGCAGCCCTGTGCGCCCTGCTGCCCTGCTGCTGCCGCTACAGCCCTTGCTGCTGCCCTGCGCGCCCTGCAGCCCTGCTGCGCCCTGCGCGCCCTGCTGTCCTGCTGCCCTGCGCGCCCTGCGCGCACTGCAGCCCTGCGCGCCCCGCGCGCCCTGCTGCCCTGCTGCCCTGTGTGCCCCGCGCGCCCTGCAGCCCTGCTGCGCCCTGCGCGCCCTGCTGTCCTGCTGCCCTGCGCGCCCTGCGCGCACTGCAGCCCTGCGCGCCCCGCGCGCCCTGCTGCCCTGCTGCCCTGTGCGCCCCGCGCGCCCTGCAGCCCTGTGCGCCCCGCGTGCCCTGCAGCCCTGCTGCGCCCTGCGCGCCCTGCCGCACTGCAGCCCTGCGCGCACCGCGCGCCCTGCAGCCCTGTGCGCCCCGCGCGCCCTGCTGCCCTGCAGCCCTGTGCGCCCTGCTGCCCTGCTGCTGCCGCTACAGCCCTTGCTGCTGCCCTGCGCGCCCTGCAGCCCTGCTGCGCCCTGCGCGCCCTGCTGTCCTGCTGCCCTGCGCGCCCTGCGCGCACTGCAGCCCTGCGCGCCCCGCGCGCCCTGCTGCCCTGCTGCCCTGTGCGCCCCGCGCGCCCTGCAGCCCTGTGCGCCCCGCGCGCCCTGCAGCCCTGCTGCGCCCTGCGCGCCCTGCGCGCCCTGCTGTCCTGCTGCCCTGCGCGCCCTGCGCGCACTGCAGCCCTGCGCGCCCCGTGCGCCCTGCTGCCCTGCTGCCCTGTGCGCCCTGCGCGCCCTGCAGCCCTGTGCGCCCCGCGCGCCCTGCAGCCCTGCTGCGCCCTGCGCGCCCTGCGCGCACTGCAGCCCTGCGCGCACCATGCGCCCCGCGCGCCCTGCTGCCCTGCTGCCCTGTGCGCCCTGCTGCCCTGTGCGCGCCCTGCTGCCCTCTGCATCGCCATGCACAGCCCCCCCCCCCCCCCCCCCCCCCCCCCCCCCCCCCGCCCCAACCGCCCCCCCCCCCTCCCCCTCCCTTCTCCTTCCTTCCCCTGCTGCAGGTGCAGCGGTGGGGTGGGGGTATGGGGGTGGCGGGTGTGGGTGCAACTGCGGGGTGGCGGGTATGGGGGTGGCGGGTGTGTGAACCGTCCCCTTCTCCTCCTCCACCTTCGTCTCCCACTGCTGCAGCTGCCGCTGAGGGGGGTGGGTGTGTGGGAGCCGAGGGAGTGGTTCTAGGGGGGTGATGTGGGAGTGGAGCTAGGGGTGCAGCAAGGGGTGTGTGAAAGGGGGGTGGGACAGTTGGGGGAGGTTGAGCGGAGGCTGCCGTCTTGTCGTCCGCAGCACCTGTTGTCCGGGGTTCTGCTTCTGGTAGCTCAGAGAGCCTGCTGCGTCTGTCGCCTGTGGGTCCGTTGCTCCTGTCGCTCAGAGTTAGCCGCAGAGCCAGTTACTCCTGTAGTCCGGGGATACGGCTCCGGTAGCCACAGTGCACGCCGCTCCTGTTGCCCGTGTGTCTGCAGCATCAGCCGTCGCCTCCTATCTACTCTCCTCTTACAGTCCAGCCTCCTCCTCACTTGCCCTTTGTGAATGCCTCTAGCTTTGCTTGTACTTGTGAACTGGCCTTTTGGCCCTTTGCTTGTGCTCGGACTGTGTGGTGACTTTGTGATCCACCCTGAGCTTGCTTTGCTTTGCTTCTTCTTGACTGGTCTTGTGACCATTGCTTGTTCTGGCTATCCCCCACTTCGCCTATGGGGGTGTGTCAAACATATATGCCTAGTTATATCTAGGCTTAGTTTATGTGTTTATAGTTGTCTAGGCTATAGTGGGTTTAGCCTTAGGGGGTACAAAGTTTCTCTCGACATTCTACTTGTACCCCTTCCCTTTTCCTAGTCAATCATTCTCGCCTACTATTCTAACAGCTGCACCTGCTGGTCCTGGAGGTGCTCGTACTAGGGGTACTGGAGCTGCCGGGACTGGAGCTGTTGGGGGAGCTGGAGCTGGAGACCCTACGAAGCCTGGAGCTGCTGGGGCTGGAGGAGCTGGAGCTGTGGGCACTGGAGCTGGAGGCACTGGCGCGGGGGGCGCTGAAGCTGGAGGAGCTGGAGCTGTTGACCCTGGAGCTGGAGGTGCTGGAGGCACTAGGCGGCCGCGACCGTACTTCGTTGCCCTGCTTCAGCAGGTTCTTGGTGTGCCGTCTTCTCCTTGCCTTACTCCTCCTTTACTGAATCCACCACCTGACCAGTCGCAGCCGCTGTTACAGCCAGCCTCCGCACTGCCTGCTCCTTCTCCTTACACTGAGCAGACCGGAGGTATTACTGAGCGTCGTGTGCCTGCTTCTCGTCTTGCCTCCCCTGATCACACTGGTCGTACTGGAGCTGCTGGTCCTAGAGGTGCTCGTACTAGAGGTACTGGAGCTACCGGAGTTGGTGGTTTTGGAGACTCTAGAGCAGGAGACCTTGGAGCTGGAGGCACTGGTGCTGGAGGTGCTGGAGCTGGAGGAGCTGGTGCTGGAGACCCTGGAGCTAGATCTTCTTGAGCTGGAGGCACTGGCGCTGGAGGCGCTGGAGTTGGAGGAGCAGGAGCTGGGGACACTGGAGCTGGAGACCCTGGCGCTGGAGGCACTGGCGCTGGTGGCGCTGGAGCTGGAGGAGCTGGAGCTGGAGACCCTGGCGCTGTAGGTGTCAAACATATATTTACTATAGTCTGTTTAGGCTGTAGTGGGGTAGTCCTTAGAGGGTACAACACTTATGTGTTTCCTACTTGTACCCTTCTCATTTCCTAATTCCATTCATTCTTTCGTTTATTCTTTCACATGGTATAGAGCTAGTTTCGAGTTTTTTTTAAAAAGGGCCCACCACTGATTTTTTCGTACCCACTCGACGCTCGCGTCGCGCCTACCCTTTCGAGGCCCGTAGTGGCCCCTGCGCCTGCCCTTAGCGCTAGTGCCGGCCCCGTAAGGCCCCGTTTTCATGCCCCGTAAGGCCCCGTAAGGCCCCGGAATGCCCCGTAAGGCCCCTTAAGGCCCCCTTTACGGCCCCGTTTAAGGCCCCGTAAGGCCCTGTAAGGCCCCGTAAGGCCCCGTATGGCCCCGTAAGGCCCCGTTTAAGGCCCCTTAAGGCCCCGTAAGGCCCCGTTTCAGGCCCCGTAAGGCCCCGTAAGGCCCCGTAAGGCCCCGTAAGGCCCCGTATGGCCCCGTAAGGCCCCGTTTAAGGCCCCGTAAGGCCCCGTTTAAGGCCCCTTAAGGCCCCGTAAGGCCCCGTTTCAGGCCCCGTAAGGCCCCGTAAGGCCCCGTAAGGCCCCGTAAGGCCCCGTTTACGGCCCCGTAAGGCCCCGTTTAAGGCCCCGTAAGGCCCCGTTTTAGGCCCCGTAAGGCCCCGTAATGCCCCTTAAGGCCCCGTAAGGCCCCTTAAGGCCCAGTAAGGCCTCGTATGGCCCCGTTTACGGCCCCGTTTAAGGCCCAGTAAGGCCTCGTGAGGCCCCGTACGGCCCCGTCAGGCCCTGTTTAAGGCCCCGTAAGGCCCCGCCAGGCCCCATTTAAGGCCCCGTTCGGCCCCATAAGGCCCCGTCAGGCCCCGTACGGCCCCGGCAGGCCCCGTCAGGCCCCGTTAGAGGCCCCGTACGGCCCCGGCAGGCCCCGTTAGTGGCCCCGTAAGGCCCCGCCCGGCCCTACCCCAACCTGTCACGGCCCTGCGCCGGCTCTGCTGCAGGACCTGCCCAGGCCCTGCCCCGGCCCTGCCCCGGCACTGCCCCGGCCCTGCTCCGACCCTGCCCCGGCCCCGGCTCTGCCCCGGCCCTGCACCTGCCCTGCCCCGGCCCTTCCCCGGCCCTGCCCCGGCCCTGCCTCGGCCCTGCCCCGGCTCTGCCCCGGCCCTGCACCTGCCCTGCCCCGGCCCTGCCCCGGCCCTGCCCCGGCCCTGCTCCGACCCTGCCCCGGCCCTGGACCGGCCCTGCCCCGGCTCTGCCCCGGCCCTGCACCTGCCCTGCCCCGGCCCTGCCCCGGCCCTTCCCCGGCCCTGCCCCGGCTCTGCCCCGGCCCTGCTCCGACCCTGCCCCGGCCCTGCCTCGGCCCTGCCCCGGCTCTGCCCCGGCCCTGCACCTGCCCTTCCCCGGCCCTGCCCCGGCCCTGCCCCGGCCCTGCTCCGACCCTGCCCCGGCCCTGCCCCGGCCCTGCCCCGGCTCTGCCCCGGCCCTGCCCCTGCCCTGCCCCGGCCCTGCCCCGGCCCTGCCCCGGCTCTGCCCCGGCCCTGCCCCTGCCCTGCTCCTGCACTGTCGCGGCCCTACCCCGGCCCTGCCCCGGCCTCGCCACTGGTAAGAGTGCCGCCCTGCCGAGACGCGCCGCCCTGCCTAGCCTGCCCTGCCGAGTTGCACTGCTGCTGCTGCTAGCCTGCTGCTGCACCTGTCATGGCTAGTCTCAATGTTCTTACCTTTGATGCTGAGGGTCGTGCTGTTGACTTTGAGGTCTGGCTAGATGATCTGCAGCTTTTCCTACAGTGCGATAGCAAGGATGGCCTCTCACTGTTCGATCTCACGTCTGGCGCCTCTACTGCCCCTGCTGCTGATGCTGACAGTACTGTTCGCTCGCAGTGGCTCACGCGCGATGCTGCTGCTCGTCTTGCTGTGCGCAATCACCTGCCGTCTACTGAGCGCGCGCACTTTAGTCAGTACAAGAGTGCTAGGGCTCTGTACGACGCTGTAGTTGCACGCTACTCCTCCCCTACCACTGCTGCCCTCAGCCGCCTCATGCTGCCGTACCTCTTTCCTGACCTTGCCGCCTTTGCAAGGGCAGCAGGGGTGGTGGAGGGGGCGGTGGGGGAAGCGGTGGGGGCGGTGGAGGAGGTGGAGGTGGTGGTGGGGGTGGTACCGGGAGTGGGGGAGTCGGTGGCGGCAGTGGAGGCCGTGGCGGCGGTAGCGGAGGGGGTGGAGGCGGCGGCAGCGGTGGTGGAGGTAGCGGAGGAGGTGGTGCTGGTCGCGGTGCAGCTACGCCGTGTGGAGGCCTTGGTGGCAGCCAGCGCCAGCAGCAGCAGCGCACCCGTGAGACCCCGTCGGTTCAGCAGCTTCGTGAGTGGTACGCTGGGCGTGGGAGGTCTGGGGGTGCGGGTCCCTGCTCTTACGTTCTTCGCACCGGCACTCGGAGTGGGGAGGTGTGTGGTCTCCCACACACCACGCAGCGCTGCTTCGGCCGCTTGACTGACGCTTGGCGTGCCCAGTTTCCTGACGCTGTTGAGCTTCCTCGTTGGCATGATCTGCTTCTGCAGAATGTGCCTATCTTTGATCTAGACTTTGATGCTATCCTTGCTGCCATGTATGCTTTTGCTGATATTACTGAGGGTGACTATTACCTGCGTGTCCCGCCCGACCCGGGCACTGTGGCTGCTGCTCTGGGTGCTAGTGCGGCTGCTGCTCTAGGTGCTCGTGCGTCTGCTGCTCCAGGTGCTGGTACGTCTCCTCTCTCTGGTACTGCACCTACTGAGTCCTTTCACACCTTCACACTTGACTCTGGTGCTTCGCGCTCTTTCTTTAGAGACAGCACCACGCTCACGCCGCTCCGTCGGCCTGTTGTGGTCTCCCTTGCTGACCCCTCCGGGGGCCCAGTCCTTGCACACTCCTCCACGGTTCTACCGTGTCCTGCGGCCCCGTCGGGCTTGCTGTCGGGACTCCACCTCCCCTCGTTCTCTACGAACTTGGTGAGTGGAGCTGACCTCCAGGACGCGTGGGTTGACCAGTTTACCCCTGGAGGTCAGCGTGTGACCCACTGCACTTGCTCTCGGACGGGCCGCCACCTGGCCACGTTCACCCGTTGGCCAGGGTCGAGTCTATACACACTGACTACTGCGCCTCCTCCGATCCCTGCGTCTGGTCAGGTAGCTGCGTCCAGTCAGGTGTTTGCT